TTGCCCTGTGTCTTCCCCCCCCCCCCCCCGGACACCTGCCAAGGATGGGCACGGAGTGCTGATGCCTGTTAGGGAAAGGCTTTATCACAGGAGAAGCCTCATGCACAAACACAAAGGGGGAATTACTGGCTAGGCCATCGCTCTGCAAATAGGACAGGATGAACTAGGGGGCCTCTTCAAGCCCTTTCTGCTGTGTGGTGGGAGTTTTTGGTTGTTTGGGACTTTCTTTGCTGCAAGACTCTTTCCTCTAGAGCTAGGCCTGTCCACATCTTTCAAGAGCATCCCCTACGGTACAGGAAAACACTCATTTTGCTTTCTTGATGGCCCCAAATCAGCCACATAAGAAGTGGTAGAAAAAGTCAAATGGCCACACAAGTTTTTTTGTTTTGTAATTAACAATTTTAAAAATGAGAAAATACAGTATATCTGTGAAGAAAGAAACCTGTTGTTTACTAAAGTGACATAATTATCGATTGTCAGTGCAAATTACTATCAGTCAAAACTGTCAGTTCTTATATACCACAAAGCAGGATATTACAAAGGTGTCACGCCACAGAGTGAAAGAAGAAATGGTTTATTAAATCCACCATGGAGAAGAGAAATGCCAGTATAATAAAAATTTTTAGTTTCCAAAATTTTTGGTGAGGGGAACAGAAAATGGTCCATGAACTAGGCAGCTAAATGGTAAACTTAATTCTCCATCTGTTCTTGTACTTTCAACAGTTCCTAAGTAGCAGCAACATCTAATGTCTTTTATGGAATCACATTTTAGAGACTTCACAACCCAATGTGCCACTGCCAACTGGTGTTTGAGAGCACACTGCTACTGCAGTTAAGTATAGAAAACTGCTTGGAGGCTTAACGTAGCGTATGCCTTACAGACAACGTATACAAAGGTGTGATTGTGCATTGTGGTCGTGCTTGCCTTAGTCTTGCACTGAATGTGTTAACAACTTGCAAACTTGGCCTTAGAGCTATGATATGGATCAACATTGAGCTTACCAGTACAGTAACCTTACCTTACCAGGTTTAAAGTGGCTATGTTGGATTTTGACCAGTGATGACTGCTTAATCCTTTTTTGATTTAACTGGAATGCAGCACTGCTGTCTTTAGTTTGTATTTTCAAGTGTAATGTCTCAATACAGGGGGTTTTTCGTCTCTGTTATCCCTTTATAGGGTGGACACTAAACAACTTAGTAGTGTGAGAAGCAGTGTTGAATTTTCTGGATTTTCTGACTCATAATAATTCAGGAAAAAAACAAACCAAACCAAACAAACTCTAGAACACTGTTGAAAAACCTACCTATACCCATAACCATTAACTGCTTGTTGAATAGTCATAATCTTCAGGAGAGAAAACAGACACATTGAGTAGAAATTTATATTACTTTTTTAAAGTTCTTTCATTTACATGAGAAAAGCCAGAAACAAAGCACGATGAGCCATTTTGTGTCTGGCCCTGGTGCAGATTTGCAGATCAAGTACTCCCATCTGTAGCACCCCTTTTCTCTGCCCTGCTCTAATGGCACTCCTGACCTGCTTATTTCCTTCTCAGAGCTGTGCGCTTGGCTGTGTGAATGTGTGATCTCCTACGTAGATGTCATTTCAGTGTTTTGCACGTTGTAACCTTTCCCTTCAGCATGCAGCAGCTGTACGCAGCGTCAGATGGAAGCTGGAGTTTCTAATTTAGGGCAACCCACTGTTGCAAGTAGTTTTTGTGGGGGGAGTTTGCTCTTCTGGCCAGCTGTCCGTGGCCTGGGGGAGATGCAGTACAGTGTTAGCAGTACCCTGGCCTTTCGACTTTGACACTTTCCACAAGACAGTGGATTTGTAACTGCAGTCAGAAATTACTTAGATTTTTCCTACTTGCCTCAGTATCAGTGAATTCTCAACCAATTTGATCAGTTATTCCAGCCAAATTCACCCCCTTTGCTAAACCTTCTATTACTTAATAGGGAGATTTGTTCAGATTGTCAAAATGGACTGAATAATAGCAATAACGCAGCCATTAACAGAAAGAAATGGGCTTGAGGGAATACATATGTAAGGTTAAATTCTGAAAACGCGGTAGCTCTGTGTCAAAGATCTATGTGGTTGTACTTGCATCTCAGGTTTACGGGGGAGTTTGTTTCTTTGTGGAAAAGAAACTAGGTAGTCATGTTTGAGATTACCTGGGTCTGGAAACTTTTCCCTAAGCTGGGGTTCTGCTGTATTCAGTCAAGAGTAACCCTAACGCTGGGTGCCATAGTGAATTGTGGCAGAGCTACCAAGTCCAATTAGGAAGAAAGGTTTTACCAGTGACATGAAATGAAACAAAACACCCAGGGTGACAACTTCTGGAGTGATCAAAGTTTGCTGGTTGTTGGTGGCTGGCACAGCCCGGGCATGCAGCCCTGCAGACTCGGCGGACGGATCAGCCTCACCGTTTGGGTTCTCGGGCAACAGGAGGCAGAAGAGCTCTGGAGGTGGCATCTGCAGATACAGTGAAAATGAGAACCTGTTGTTTCCTCTGGTCATTTGAAGAAAAAACTGTAGTCTGATGGGTATATCAATAACAGATTGACATGACATGGTTCATTTGCAAGCAGGAATATTTCTTCTCGGCCAAAGATTTACTCCCAGCTCAGTTGTAGGACATAGCTGTTCACAAGGCAGAGAAAGAAAAAGCAAAGAAAATAATAAGAGGAGCGATAACTTTCCCTCAAGCAATTTTAACATAAAAATAGAATTTTTAAAAGTGGAATGAAATTGAGGTGTTAGTTGAACAGGTGGTAAATAAGAAACACTAGATTAACTTGTAGTATTTGGATCTTTCTGAATTTTCAGGTGTGGTAAACTGATGGGAACTGTAGAGATATCAATCTATGCTGTCTTAGGCCTGTCTATACCTCCAGGCGTCTCAGTGCTTAAGAAGACTCTAACTTCAAAGCATTTGAAGTTGTGGAGGAAAGGGCCCTGATTTTTATTCCACCTTTATGCCCCTGAGGGACACAGGAGCCGACGTCACTCCACGTGCTGCCTTCCCTCGGTGCAGAGGGATGGGTGCACACGCGGCAGTTTTACCTCCCCCAGGGAGCCAGTTTCTTGACATGAAACTCGGTGAAAGAGTGAGGTCTTTGGCTGTTTAAATCAAATTCATGTTATATTGTAGTACAGAATCATAATGAAGAAAACCACAGGAAATTTAGCTACTCTAAGGCCTCAACTGCCAGTCATCCCTCCTTGCTTATGCCAACTAGAAGTACCGAAGTTGTCAAAATAAATTATGATTAAAAAGGGAGATGTCACAGCATATTATTCGGCTTTGCAGAATATTTCGTAATACTGTATATCATAAAAGTTAGTCTTTGAAACTCCAGACATCTACTTTTATTATTATTGTTATTACAGGGTCTTAGACAAAGATGGGGCAAACAAAAAGCATCAGTTTCATTTTATACTCAAACATCCTTTTGAAAAAGAAGGGAATAAGGAGACAACTCTAGGATTAGGAAAGTTTTGTGCAGTTCTTTTCAAAATAAATAACTCCATAGCCAAGTGAAAATTGTGAGATTTGGGCTAAAGGTTCTGATGTTGGTCCCAGGAGGAGCATGAAAAGTGTACAAGCGCACTGACTGTTGGAGATTTTTCAGTAGGATTTTCTTTCTTAGCTTAAACAACATATTTTAGTTTCTGAAGTGCTGTCATATGGTATGTTCTCCACTAAACTTGAAATGGAAAGGTTTGGGTTTTTGAGTTGAAATAGATGCATCATGTCAGGAATTATCTGGGACTTCACGTACCTAAAGAAGTTATTTGTACTCTTGAGTATGAAGAATAACAGCATAGAAATATATAGACTGACTAATTTGGGGGTTTGTTTCAATTCCATTGCATAACACATCAGCAGTATATTTAAGGAATTATTTTGAAGAAAGGTCTGGATGGTTTTGTCTGTTTAAGAAGCATGAAACAATGAAAGTGATGTTCCTTCCTATGTATTTACACCAACATTCAGCTTATATGTATACTGTAAGACTTGTTGGATGCCTGAAGAACTGGTAGGGTTTTGTCATTAGAAAATGCAGATAATATTTAGGTTAAAAATCTAGCTATGATATCTCATTAAATTGCTCTGAAAATAACATTTTTTCATTGCATAGGATATTTTCGGAAGTGTTTTATAGGCTTTTATAAAATCTTAGACAGCTGAAAACTGCAAGGTCGTCTTTAAAGGTTTAAAAACTGGTGTGTATGTGGGGATACTTGTGTTCTGTAGATGTGTATTAGTTTACAGTCTTGAACTGGGAGGATATTACATCGCTCCTGGCACAGACAGCAGTGACGTCAACTGTAGCAGTTTGCATATGAGGCTCACAACCTTATAGTTTAAGGCAATTTTAGTTTTTATCTGGAGTCTACCAGTCTATGAATTTGTCGCATGGCAAAAGGTAGTAACAGGGAGCTGGGATCATTCCAAGATGCTCTGCTGAATCCTCAAAGGCAGAAAGCTTTACTAACAGTACTTGGTGCATCCACTCAGTGATCTACGAGAACAAATTAGGCAGCTTTTTCTGTTTCCTTTTAGCTTGGCTATTTGCTGAAGTAGCTGTTGTTTCAGCCTATTGAATTTATTTCCTTTAGCAGAGGACAGCAGCTGCTTGATTCTTTCCACCCAAAAGTTCAAGAAATGTAGAAACATGTATTGTTTCATTGTTTTTGCTCTGTCGCACACATTCCTGGAAGGCCATGCAAGGGAGAAATAATTCAACAACAGAGCAAAGACCATAAAGGCCTCTCATTTTTTTTTTTTTTCCTTTCCATTTCTTTTATGCAGAAACTCCAGTATTTGTTTCGAAGGCAAAGACATCTTTATGTGAAAGACCATTGCTGATGCAGCGCTGAGCAGAGCAGTGGCAATTTCCTCCCTCCGAGGCCAGGCACGGTATTAACTCATGGTGCTCTCAGTTGTTTAGTTGTTTGAATTTCCCTAGTGTCTTCAAGTGCCTCCCAAACTTTGCAAGCAAGTTTGGGTTAAAAAAGAATCCAACACGCTGAATAGAACCTAAGGGCTAGGAAATACATCTCTAAACTTGGGTGTAGTGGGCCAAGCAGCTTGGATGTTCTGTGGGTTGTGAGAAATTCATGACAAGAACATAGTCCCTCTGTAGAAAAGTCTCGGGGCTTCATTTGTTCATATTTTTCAGGAATTTTGGAAATACTCAACTGTATTTGAAGTCTTATGGCCTATTTTTTTCTTGAGCTGTGCAAGCTATCCTAAAATATTACAGGGATGAGAGTAGGTAAATACAAGGGACAAACATAAAAAGAATAAAATAGAAACACGTTGGTATTTTACAGTGTGTTTGTTAGTGGCACTAGAATGTAGAAGTTACAGTAAGACACTACATGTCCCATAATTTAGGCTTTTTCAGACACAATTCTTTACTACTTCTTAGCACTTTGAACATGCATTGCACAGCCATTAACTACTAATATTAAAGGGCTAGTTGCAACTGAAAACTAGAATACTTGCTGAAGTCAATGACTTCAGGGCTTCACAGGAGTTAGATGGTTTTTCTTCAGGTGTATCTGATCAACATTAGACTCCCAAATCATTAGAGTGGCAATATACATATTTATTATCATCTCTTTAATGCAGTTTCCCTGTATAAAGGTGTTTTTTTTTCCATGGCAGTTTAAAGAAACATTGTATGCCAAAGCAGCCTTTTGTAAAATACAAAGCACTCCTGCAGGAGTGCTCTCTGGCAGCACAAATGCTGCAGTTAGGCTTTTTTTTTTAGTAATGTCAGAAATTCTGAAAAAGTGTATCAAGGCTCACTGTGGGGAGAAAAAAAAAAATTTAAAACCCCTTTTTCTTTTAATTGCATGGTTGTGCTGCTACCTTTCTGCTAGTTTGGTTTTGTTTTGGTGTTTAGTTTGGTTTTTTTTTTCCCCCTGTTGTTTTTCTCTTTTGTGTAGGTAGTTGTTTTTACATTTGTACAGTGTATCTTCTGCATGTCCAGGCACAATCTTTGCAAAAGTAGAGTTTAACAATTTGAAACAATCCATAGAAAACATAATCCACTCTTCGGTGATGATTTCGTAGGCCTCTAAAACATACAAAGCACTAAGGAAAATCACCAGGATTTGTCATTTTAGTGAAAATCGAGGAAGCAACTTTTCTCTCCCCATCTATGTTTAAACTGCTAGCCACAGAGCACTCTAAATTTTATTTAAGGAAGATCTGGGGTGGTTTCTGCATTCAGAATCCCTCACAAACTGACAGCACCAAGCAGAAGCAGCAGTGTCTAACTTTGGAAGCTGCCTGTACGTTAAACATGTAACTAAATAAATGACAGTAGAGATTAGAGACGTGTGCCATGCTAATAGGCTCTGGGATTCTCCTGCTTCACCTCCATTGTGCTCCAACACAGCAGGACCAGATTTCATCTTCCTTTAGAAACTTGGCTTGTGAATTTTGCTATGTGTAATGTCAATACCATGTGGAGTTGAAGGGAGGGGTGGTATCAAACTTTCAAAGGATTGTTTAAAACCGTATTTCCAGGTAAGTGATAGAACCTGGTTCTACTCCTTCCATTAGAGACTACATCTCCCAGCATCAAACAACATAACCTCTGTTAAAATCCAGTGCTGTTCATATAGCAGGGATTTTAGGTGCAACACATTTTCTTCAATAATCCCAAATAAATTGAGCAAGCAATAACATTCTCCTTCCCTGTGCTTGGTTCCATGGCCATAGCATGACAGCAGCCGTGTAGACTACATAAAATTTTGAATTTCTCAGTGAAATTTTCATCGGAAATACTATGGTCAGAAGAATTTTCTAAAAGCAAACTGTTTTGAAGTGAGGTAATATGCCTGTTTCTCATGGAGGACAGAGGTGTGCATGCACACAAGTGCACCGTATGCAGAGTGATAAAGGAACACAAGTTTACAGATCTACGTCACCAAAAGTGTTTAGGGAGCATTTCAGGGAGTTGGACTCGATGACCCTTATGGGTCCCTTCCAACTTGAGATATTCTATGATTCTAAGTTCCATAGTAAAGGAACACCCTGCATAATATGTGATCTCACTCATCAGAGTAATGATGAAACATTTCCATTTCAGGCTATAAGGAAAGAGATAGATAAAAATTATTGCTGTACTCCCTTAATGAACTGGGTGGGGGGAAAGGATTAGTTTTTGCATTCTCAGGAGGTACTTGAAACAGCCATTTGAATATACCACAAACACTACTCAAATACTTGCATAAAGACATTTTATTATGAATGTAATGTATATATAGATTTTTTTTTTCTTTTTTGATCTGAGGTCCTTATATAAACAGACCCACATTGGTTGAATGACAGTTAGTTTGCAGGGCATGACAGCGGTTGAACACCCTTCAGCTCCAAAGCTTTGCTGAAGTTAATCTCTTGAGGTTTAGCAGTACCCTTGGTGAGCTTCAGAAATCGAATACATCCTTTAAAACGGATATTAGTGGTCAGCCCAAACTGGGTCACACCATCTGGAAGGAAAAAAAAAAAGGCGAAAGAACTTATGTCAGTTTGAGTTGATATTTAAGTTAGTTTTTTGAGAGTTCTGCAGGAGAATAGATGTGCCCAGTATCAATATGTTTTATTTGCTGTGTATCTTCTTTATTAAAAAAAATGACAAACATTGTGAGAGAATGTGATAAATGCTTATTTAGTGGTAACAATCCAGATTTCTTTCCTTCTTCTGTCCTAGCATGGCAGTGGCAGAATCAGAACACATTTAAACTGCCATTGTAAACCATGTAACTCGGTTACATGACATAGAGGAAATTAAGGAACAGGGCCAAATGGCAGTGTGCTACCTACAATGGTGTATGATGCATACATACTAGTCCTGCAGATCTCCAACTTCTCAAGCTATTTATCCTCAGAATAACAGCAAAAAAAAAAGGCCAAAATGGATGCCATTCTCAGCCCTAACATAATGAGAAAGCCAGTTCCTCAGTATGGACTTCGGGTGTCATTTAAGCAACGGTTTTGAGAGTTTTCAAACATTCTGATTCTTTTTTTTTTCTTGCTAATATTAAAGCCATGGATTTGAGTACACCTCTTCCACTAAAGGAGGAGGGTATAGAAGCGAGGGCTGGTTAGACTGGGAAGCTGGAAATATTTCTCTCAACTGCTTGAAATTCATGGCCCAACTTGTTTCTCAGTGTTCTTCCAAGTGAAAAAGTGGCTACAGGGATGCACTCCGATACAAATCTATGTGACCAATAACGTAAGGGTTGCAGAAATAACTTCACACCTGTAGGGGACTGAACGGCCATAGCATTACGCTGTTTCACAGAGCATGAGATGGCTGAATCCATCTGTCGCTCCTTGCG